GTTGACTGGGACCTCATTACACGTGCTATAGGAATTGGCTCACTTTATTGGAGGTTTCTCTTCCTCAGCTTGTTCTCCTTTGCTCACTCTTCTCTGAGCATTTTCACTGACGGAAATAAAATATCTGTCCGTGGGTGTTAGGTTTTGTTTGTTTGTTTGTTTTATCACATAGGCCTGGAGCATTTTCACTGATGGAAATAAAATATCTGTCCGTGGGCGTTAGGTTTTGTTTGTTTGTTTTATCACATAGGCCTGAATCAAGTTAGCTGTAAAAGATGCTCCTTTTGGAATCAAACTAAAAACTGTGTCTGTATTTTTACAGCTTTAGGATGTATATATTGTAGTAGCATCGATATTTACAAAAATACATTCTTCAATAGCATAAAAATAATATTTTAAACAAAACTGTGTTTAAGGTTATCGTATGGTATTGTATGTGTGCTTTTTCCCTTCTTTTCTGGATTGTGTAGTTATGTTACTTAAAATCCCCTGTATGCCTTGTATGTACTTTGACTTCTCTGTCAGCAAGATAAAACTTTTGAAGAAATAAATAGAAGCAGCTATTCTTTTCTTTCCAGTAGTATGGCTGTATATATTTATACAAAAAAAAAATCTGATGCCTTCTATCCCTAAAATTCTTGCTTATTAAATGTGAATTACTGTTTGTAGTCTCTCTTTTTGACAGTTGTTTTGATGCCTTTTCACCATAGTTAAGTATATCAATCTGCAGGCACAAATACCTTTAGCCTCTTGCTATAGAAACAAAGAAAAAACCACAACGTACCTTCAGGATGTCTTTTTAAACTTTGAAAAATTTATTTTTTAATGAAGGCAAGGCATATTAAGCAGTATATAACCTCTGGCACTGCTTCTTGGATTTCTTAATGGCATAAAGAAGACATAAATGAATTTGAACGAGTGTGTGGAGCCCATCTAACTCAAAGGTGCTTTGCCTCACCTTTTGTGGACACACTAAAACAGGGCTGTAATGTGCCAAACAAATGCTGGATTATGAGGAAGAATGTTTAAAATGTTTAAAACTTACAGTTGTTATTTTATACTTAATAATAAAGATCTTCCTTTTAAAAAGCAGGGGCACTTCTGAGGTAGCAAAGGGGAGTTTTACTAATTGTAACAAGAACCCCAAAAAATTTCTCTGACATTGACATAAAGTATGAGTGTTTTTTTTATTTTTTTTATTATTTTTTTCAATCTATAGATTCAGTACAGTGACTTTTTGTTTTGACTGACACTAGTATGAGAATTGCACTCGTTGCTTTCGCTGCCTGTTTTCTAATAGTTGTCGAAACTTCTGGTGGGAGGCTTTACTTTTTCTCCTTTCCAATTCAGTGGAGAAATTAGTTGAAACTCAATATATTTTGAAATAATAAACCCAGGTGTTCATTAATACTCTTCATTAGTACTTAAGTCATGCAGGTGCCAAAAAAATTTTATGTGTGTTCTGATGGCACACACTGTAGTGAAACTATTGACTATGGTGAAGAAGCAGGGGTAGATGTTCTGAAAACATTTAAGACAGCTTAAAATGCTACGTGCAAGGTGAGGCGTGAGGTACTGTATGTGTTAGTTCATATTCATGGTATGGCAAATGGAAAGATGGTTTTGCTTGCAGGCAATGTGCAGATTTACTAGACTGCCAGTCTTGCCAGGTGTGTTCAAGAGTATAAAATAGATCCCCTGAATTGTTAGTTGAGTAGTCATTTGCCCAGCCTAATAACATACTGCTATTAAAGTGCTTTGATATTTATTCATAGTATCACTTATCCACGCATAGTTATGTTAAGGGCATGATTACAAAGCAGCCAAGTGTTCTGAGAGCTCTCAATAGCTCCATTTAGATGCACCAGTTCAGTTACAATGTGGAGAAAAAGCCTCTTTTATTGCTTTTATTGTTTTCATTAAGCTCTGCAAGGAGCAGCTCATAAAAAGCTCCGTTTGCAGCTGATTATTTGAAATGCGCTGTTGATGTTTTAGAGACTTGTGTACCTTTAAGGTTAAAGAACTTCATTACTAGTCAGGATTGCCAGATGGACACCTTGCTGTAAGGGAGGGCTAAACCTGCCTCTTCTGCGTTTATTTGCATTCACCTGCCGAGTCTTGATCTATTCCCGGAGGATCCTTTTTCTTAAACACTAAGGCACAAGTGCGTTAGCTCTAATATTTGAGCCATTTCTGTGCATGCTTTAAGGTTAAAAAACTTCATTACTAGTCAGGATTGCCAGATTTGCTTAGTACTGAATTTACCATCCCTTCAGATTGCCAGCTAAACCTGAGATCCTGTTTCTTCATTTCTTTCTATTATTTCATTTACAGTTGCAGAGATTTAACTTTTGTGAGGTTGTAGGCACAAGGCTGATATCACTATAAAATGTGCCCTGGCAGTGGCAGGGAATCATGGAGGAATGCTGTCTTCTAGATACCCAAAGTGACAAATACTTGTCACCTAGGTGTTCGATTTTTTTTTCTCCTTCTTAAAAAAAAAATGTTAATGACAGTGTTTCTGTGCATTTTGTGGCTTGTGGTTCTATTTCCTGGCCAGAAATGATCTTCGAAGGACTGCATAAACTCATTTTTATTTTTACTTTTTTTCTCATTGACAAGAAGTCCACTCAACTACCCATGAAGTAGCATCAAGCACAAGAGATAACCTGGCTGCCTAAGGAGAAAAGACAGGGAAGATAAGCCAGAGGGAATACAGCTCAGTTTCTGTGGTTTAATAACTCACTACCTGCCAATTGAGGCTGGAGAAGTTGAGCTATTAGTCTGACCAGTTGACAGATAGCATGGCTTGATTAAATCAATTCAGGGATTAAATGAAGTATTTTTTTGCCTTGCATTTGGGAGTGGGCAACTTGTTTGTTACTGTATTTCACCTGAAAGCATTTTTAATGCGTTTGAAGCTGTTTGCTTCCTCTGCACAATATTACACTTACTGGAGTGGGTAAAACATTTTAGGTAAGAGCAGAAGCTTCCCCTGCACCACCATCTTTCTTTGACTTGGACCTAATTCCGAAAAACTTCTGTGTCAGATGTTGGTCTTCTGTGCCAATATTTTTTCCTGGCAAAATAAACTGTGTAACTCCTCCTTTTTAGCTGTTTTCAATTGCTTATTACTGCACATAATGTATGTTTTTCAGTTACAACCTGTATTTTAATTCTTCAGAAAATTATAACTTTAAATACTTTCGAAGGTTAAAAATAGGTGGTTTTATTTTAAACTGTTCCACAGTAGAAATGTTTAATATTAGAAATAGATGTGTTCCAGGTAAATATGTTTAAGAATTGTTTGTTTTCCAGTTTGGAGAGAAAATCATTTTATTTTGCAGTAATAGGATACTTGCAAGAATCCTTATCTTGCACATGCTTAAAGCAACTTGCATTTATATTTTTACATTTATTTTTAAAAAGTCACAGTTCAGTAAGACTATAACACATTGGCTCCTTAATGAAGATAAGAAAAGCTGATTAAACATTGTGGGGTGGCTGGTGGTGCCTCCTCCCTGCCGATCATCTGATTCTAGGGACTTGTGTCCAAATCCACGTCCATTTACGTCTCGGCTCGGTCCTCCTGTTGGAGCTGGTGGGAACAAAGAGCAGCTCAGTGGGTTTCAAACAGGTTTCTGCAAGGGCTGTGAAGCCGCGGCGCGCGGGGGATGTTGCTGCTCGCCTTCAGCGTGGAGCCTGTAGCCTGTTGCTCTGGCCTCAGCTGGACGGCTGTGTAGCAGGGAGAGCTATAGAGGAATGTCCCTCTCATGGTCTGAGGTGCTGGTAGAGCCTTCCGTAGCTGTGCTCCAGATTCTGCAGCCTAGAGGAACCGCTTCCTTTGATATGAAGAACTTGATAGCTAGTAAGAATTCTGGTAGATACTGCACAAAAAGGGTAGGAAAAAATCCTGCTTTTACAGGCAGTGAATCTTGGTTTCTCTTTTGAATTTCTGTTCCTTCTAATCCCTGCTCACCCCTTCCCTCTGCCCTGCATTGAAGTCAACTCTCCTTTTCATTGAAGACGTCCAGGCGCTGCTCATTTGTCTCTTTGCCCCCCAAAACAGCCTTAGATCTGTGGTGATCTTTGATTTATGGCAGGTTTTTTTCTACTTTTCCATCCTCTGTTCTTCTATAGGAGAGGAAACCTTCTATTTCCTTAGTTAGTTATGCTGTGATGATGCACTTCAGCAATTTTAACTATTTTTTTCTTCCTTATCTCAGTATAATTTTGATAGTAAATGTTGGATGATCAAAGCTGTAGCTTCCTCCTGATGTCATTCTTGCCACTGAAATGTCTGGTCTCTAGTCTACAAAAGAGTGACTAATAGTTCCTGTCATCTGAGCCACTCATTTTCTGAACCTACCTGCTTGCCTATAATTAACTTGTTTAGCTTGGAATTACTGTTTATTTAGTGCAGCTTTTTAAACATACTGTTCCAACTACAGATTTCTTCGTTTTGCTTTTACTAGAATAGTTTAATAAGAGTAAGTGTACAAATGAACCATATTTACTGAGATTGAAAACAACAAGAAAAAAAACACTTTTGACAACCTGTGTGCTTGTGGGGTTTTTTAGTTGTTGTTTTTGTTTTTTGTCTTGTTTTTTCTGTAAGCTGATGAGGCAAGGCATTTAAATTGAAAGCTAGGTCAAAAGATTATGTAATCTTGAGACCCTAAATATAGATTGGTGTAACGACATAGAAAGATCAATCTCCATGCATAAGTTCTGATAAAGTATTTTTCTTTGGTCCCTATTTTGCGCATGCAGTTTAAAATTATGCTGGAAACCCTTTGCTTGGAAAAACGATCTTGCTGATTTTGTCTTTATGCTATGTGCCAATTTCAATCAACATATAGCATGTGGGTTTCTTTATTATGACTATCTGGATGTGGGGGTTTTTCTTCTTTTGGTTTGTTGTGTTGCTAGTAAAATTAGCAATATAGTCACTGTAAAGTTTACCTTTTATTTTATATATTTTTTATTTTTTTTAATAGTAGTGGAATGGGGTGACGATGTTAAAGCAGTATCAGAAGATGAAGCCGTGGTGCTGGTGAACCATCAAGCAACAGGGGATGTCTGCACTCTCATGATGTGCCTTCAGGATAAAGGCACGGTAGGCTACAACGGGGGAGCGGGTTGTCTTCTGTGTATCCTCCTTGTTGCCCTGTGTGTGCTTGCATCTCTGTGTGTGTGTGTGTGTGTGTGTGTGTGTGTGTGTGTGTTCATCCATCAAGAAATCCTGTGGCCTTAAAATGGAAGCTTTTTTGTTTAGATTTGGTTTGATGTGACAGCTGGTAGCTTGGAGCAGGTGAGAGATGGTAAATGTTGCCTTCAAAGAAGGTCAGATAGAAGCTGAGTCTGTGTGGATCCCGTCTAGGTTAATGTGGAGGGAAGCAGATCTTCTTGCGGACAGTTGTTGTCTCACCCTATGCGCCCCTGCAGTTCATCCCAACTTGGCTTAAACCAACATAGATTTAGTTTCACAGCTATGATTTTTTTTCATGACACCAGAAGCAAGCTGTGAATGGCATTTTGTGTTGGAGTTCAATAATCAAAAATGCCTTCTCTGTGAGAGCGTGCCCAAACCAAGGTATCCGTGGACAGAATTCCTTGAGCTGCTGATTCTACAACTCTTCTCGTTGAGAAGTGCAACTCGTGTCAGTCACCTCACATGTTGCTCTTCTGAAGTGTCACAAACAGGGAGTTTAATGTTGGAGACTGCCACGTGGGTTCTGAAAAGGAATTTATATTTGTGGGGAAATTGCGTGAATGGGGTGTGCATGATTAGGCTAGAAAGTGTAGGAGATACACCTTGCAGACTGACAAAGGGCTTACTGAGTCAGTTGTGTGTAACTTAAAATGTTATCTTCTCTCCTGATACCAATGTGTGGGAAATGAGGAAAACAATTGTTCTTCCTCTACAACTTGTAATTGTCCCTTTATTTTTCTTAGTATATATTAGTCTAGATTTTGCATACCCTATGTCTCTATGTCTAGATGATTAACATTTTTATAGAGTTTTCCCCAGGTCTTACTTGTGACTGATCTGGAACAAATATTGAGTTAGGATTCAGAAAGTGTGAAAATGCCAAAGAGACTTTCTGCTTCTTTTTCTACTATTGTGCAGAGAAGACAGTGTTCTAAAAGTACATTTAATAGCTTTAATTCCTCTAGGAATTGGGGAGTTACATATTTTAGTATTGTATCCAAATGAGTAGAAGGACAAAATGAACTCTTGGGAATTTTTAATTCCCATCATCAGAACTATCCTTCGGACAGTCTTTTGGAATCAGTGAAGATGCTCACTTGTGGATGTGCATTTAATGTTACCTTGAATTTCAAAGTTTCAAATGCTTTAAAAGTTTTGAGTACCGTAGACATTCATTGATTCATGTATGTATCCTAACACAGACACATGTGTATGTATGTGAATATAGTGTGTATGTGTGTGTATATAATCTAAACCGTATTTATCCAACTTCTTTAACTCCACAGATAAATTTTACAAACGAAACAAAGGTAATAAAGACCTGAGAGTTGCAGTTACCAACATCATTATAAAATCTTTAGTCAGAGCAAAGTAAGTTCCTGTAAATGTGAAAGACCCTGAAGAAAGCAGGAAAGTGTCGAGGGGAGAATAACCCTTACTGGGGGCACTTTTAGGCTTGGTGGCTTTTGGAAAAGCAAAGCATCCTTAAAATCATTTCCCTCCCCTACTTCCCAAGTAGTTGTAGTAATTGCTGAAAAAATATGAGAGTCCTAAGCCTCAAATGGATAGCTAACAAAAGGTATAAGCTTCAAAACATGCTTAAAATACTACGTGAGTAGTACAAGTGGCTAAAAATAATGAGAAAGATAAGTATAGTTTATCCTTGATAGAAGCTGCTGTATCAGGTGTTTTTAAATAGCATGCTTTGTATTTCTGAAGAGCCGTAAAGAATTGTTCTCTCTTTGAGAGAATGTGAAACCACCGAAGTAAAAAAAACCTGTCCTACCGAAATAAAAGAAATAAAAATAAAGGCAACTAAAGGCCCTGGCTCAGAAAGCACTAGCTGAAAGGCTGTAGTGGAGGGGAAAATTGGTTTCAGGTGTTTTTAGTGCAAGCTGCAAAACATTTATTTCCAGGCTTCATTGTGAAGTTGCAGACAGGTGCTTGAAATATCAAAGTCCATCTGTTTGGTTTGCTTTGATATGAAATCTGTGCAGAAAGAAAGGAAAGTAGGTCTGAAAATGGCCAACTTGGTTATTTGTTATTGAATCAGGAAGAATTTCCTTCATATTCCAAACTTTCCTTAGTTAGGAAGGAAGAAGCAAAAAGCATGAGAAGTGGCATCCAAAAATTCTTTCAGTCCTTGAACATCTCATGAGTCTGTGCTCAAACAATTTTTGAATATGTGTTCACTTAAACGTACTTGAAATGAGTGCAAGAAGGGACTCTGAATAGAGCTGCTTAGCTCCCAAGGATACTAAGGGAAGAGCCACCACTATCCTGCCCCTTCCTCTGTTGTGCCCTTGATGGCAGAATAGAATGAGTCTGTTAACCTAGAGTGCCTGTTGGTTGCAAACAAGGTGACTAGGTGTGTATTACTCTTTGAACTCTCCCTTCTTTTTATTTTATATAGTAGAATGTTTCTTGTGGTTTGGTTTTGTTTTCCTCTTGGTGCTGTGTGTGCAATCATAGGCAGATTTAACATCATCAAGCTCTGGAGTCTGTCTTGATTGTAGCCCACTCATAGCAAACTGTCTATGTCTTGGTTAGCACTTTTATGTTGAGCTGCTCTGCTTTGGCAATCACTCTTTCTCAAGAAGACTGAGTTAGTCCAAGGATGCTAGTTAGAAGGACATGGTCAGATGAGTTTCAGGCTCTAAAAAGCAGAGATGAAACTTTCAAGAGATTTATCTAAATATTGCAGCTAACTGGCAAGCTGGTACACCGTGATGAGGACTGGTGTGGGAGCAGAGAAGTCTCAGCATTGCTGGGGAAGAGTTGCTCCTCCAGGATTGCCACAGTACATCTCACTCAAAACTTCCTTCTTCAGGGAAGCAGCCTATCTCCTTTGCTCATCTCCAGTCAAACAATGTTGGCCTAGTCTTTACTTGATGTAGGGGAAGAGTCTTTGTCAAAAACTAAAAGTAGTAGGTGAGTGCTGACAGTGACACAGCCATTGCTGAGGGATAAAGCTTTGCCTTTGGAGTTTCGGAGTATTGTTAACTGAATGATGGCCTAGGCACGGTCACCTGCATGAGCATGTCTTCTCTGCGTGGGGATGTGAGTATAGGCTGGTGGGGTTGGGTACCTTAGGGAGGAATAACTCTTCTCCAAAGTGTTCTTTACTCTTAGCCTTAGTGTTCTAACTTCTCCTTCATTTTTTTCCCCTTCTGTTTTACTGACATGGGGGCAGTGTCCCTGTCGGCAGAGAAGAACTTTTGCTTTAAGATCTTGTTTGTTCTCTGTAATATTACCTAAGCAACAGTTGCGTTAGAACCACTGGAGCTAATTTAGTCTCAAGTGGGGAGCTATATCAAGGAGCTATTCTTTTTTTTTGCCACTCACAAATAAGTAGTGTGTCTTTTCTCCCTTGGACATTTAACATTGACTAATAAATGCTACTGCAGATGAGCAGAGATGCCAGCATACTTTCCAAGGCAGAGATACCAGCACACCTTCCAAAGCAGAACCTTTCACCGCTGAGGGCTTTTCTTTTTTCTCAGGCCTGGTTTCCCTTCCTACTACAGACATTGGAGGGTCCAAAACTGGTGCTCTTACCTTATCCAGACTTTTCAAGTAGAGAAGTTTGAATGCTAAAATCGTTAAAAAGTGATGTGTTTTTTTTTCCATAATATATTCTTCTGCAAAGATAGCTTTCTTCTATACATTCAACTTAAATTTACAGAATCTCAGAATGGTTGAGGTTGGAAGGGACCTCTAGAGATCATCTAGTCCAACCCCCTGCTCCAGCAGGGACACCTAGAGCACGTGGCACAGGGTGACATCCAGGTGGGTTTGGAAGATCTCCAGAGAAGGAGACTCCACAACCTCTCTGGGCAGCCTGTTCCAGGGCTCTGTCACCCTCCCAGGAAAGAAGTTCTTCCTCACATGGAGGTGGAACTTCCTGTGTTTCAACTTACACCCATTACCCCTTGTCCTGTCACTGGCCACCGCGGAGAAGAGCCTGGCCCCCTCCTCCCTACAGTCACCCCTCAGGTACTTGAACATGTTAATCAAATCCCTCTCAGCCTTCTTTTCTCCAGACTAAACAGGCCCTGCTCACTTAGTCTTTCCTCATGCGATAGATGCTCCAGTCCCTTAATCATCTTCGTGGCTCTCCGCTGGACCCTCTCTAGAAGCTCAATGTCCCTCTTGTCCTGGGGAGCCCAGAACCGCACCCAATACTCCAGGTGCGGCCTCACCAGAGCTGAGCAGAGGGGCAGGATCACCTCCCTCCACCTGCTGGCAACGCTCCTCCTGATGCAGGCCAGGATCCCGTTGGCCTTGTTGGCCATGAGGGCACATTGCTGACTCATGGTTAACCTTTTGTCAATCAGGACTCCCAAATCCATCTCCATGGAGCTGCTTTCCAGTAGGTCAACCCCTAATCTGTAGCTGAAAGATTATTTGTATATGTGCGATAATAAAGCATCTCGGATGCTTCTTGGCAGTTACATTCTTGGAAGTGTGTCAAACTCCGCTTTGCTGAATATCTTGTCAGTTGTTTAAGGATAAGTAAAAGAAACAAGGTATGTAACAGTTATTTTTCTCCAAGTATATAGCCCAGATTTCCATTATAGCTTCTATGATCAAAGAGGAAAACAGGATATCAGAGCACCCTTAAGAGATAATTAGATAATCTTGGAGGGAAAAAGAAAGTCTCCTTTACAAAAAGTTGGATAATATGCATTTTGTATTTATAACTTCATATATCAAAGTTCTTACATTAAAATGTTTATTTCTGCACATTCCGCTTAGATGTGAAAAGAGACAAAAGCCACCATCACTCAGCAAATTATTTAGCTAGAAGTATGGTTAAAGAATGGGCATGCCTTCAGTAGCCTTCCGAGTATTTCAGGCAGGCCTCTGGCATTCGAAGGATAAGCACAGAATATGCATTAGCGGTACATATATGTAGTCACTAATGCATGAACAATGCATTGTATTTTCTGAAATAATCTATCTTCTCTATTTCTATTCTGTCCCAAGTTATCTACCTTAGACACGTAAAAAGGTGCCAAACAAAGCATGCCAGTTTAAGACTCAAACTCTTCTTCTGACCATTAGAGAAATGATGTGACGGATTTCATATTCTTTTTGATTGTGATAAATGAAAGAGAAGCCATATCATGTGGTTTTGCATTTCACTGAACTTGGTGAAAATAAACAAGTAATATAGAAGTTCCAAGCCTGGAAAGGCAACTGCTGCCCCTATGAAAATCCGTGTGTTGGAACAAGAAAAGAAAGACACAGGAGTAGCAGCTTTTCCATGCTCTTGTCACTTATTCTCAAGTAACTTTTCCTATCCTACGTCTCAAAGGACTAAACATATATAATAGTTGCCTTCATTGTCCTGTAGAAGAAATGGTCAAGGTGAATCTAATGGCTTAACCTCTATTTTTACCTTCTTGACGTGCTCCTTGGTCAGAATCACTTAGCAGAATTGCTGAGGGATGCGTGTGGCTGCTCTACCATGGGGAAGAGACATTAATGGCGTGGGCTGTAGCCAGGTCTTAGTGAGTGCTGCTCTTCAAAGACAAGGATGAGCATAGAAGGGGCATGCATGCGCATATCAGAAGTGGGGGACGAAAATGATCCTGTCGCAAAATGTCCCATGCAAAAAAATTCTAAGGAAACCTTTTTTTTTTATAGTAGATGTCAAACAGCTGGAGATTTCAAATACAAACCTGTATTTTTGTGTCTGTCCTTTAACTAAAACTGAGAATGATTCGGGTTTGCAGTTCTGAATTCAAATTATAATGGGATGTCAGTAAGAAATATTACGTGTAAACATGCAGTGGAAATGACTGCACTGGCTACTAGCATAGAACCGTATGTTAAATTTTGAAAGGGTATCTTGTATTTAATACTGTTCTTGGGGGAGAAGTGATTTAGCAGCTCTGCTGCTTCTTACTTTGAGGTCTAAATGACTTAATTCCATATATTTTCTGGTTTTTTTGATGCTAGGAGGGTGACTTTGTAGTAGCTTCAAAAAAAGAGTGACTGATAAATACGTGATTCTCTGCACACAATACTTAATTAAGCTGCTTTTTTCTTTTTTTTCTTTCTTTTTTTCCAGGTTGTCCGTCACATGTTGTGGCTGATGGATCATATTTTTAAGTATACAAATTTTGGCATTGTCTCTCTAATCCATGGAGACTTCTTTATAAGACAGGTAAATGGAAACACACTCAGCAGTGCTTAGTTTTATCCTTGTATTTGAACCCTGGTGTGTTTTGGGACTGACTTCTGCTGAGTCTGCCTAGATGGACTGCAGGGTGGGGTAGCTATCCTGAAATGTGTACTTAGAACTTTGATATTCTGGACCTACTTTTTTTATGCTTTTGTATTGTTTAAAGCTTCTAGTGCAAACATCTACAGGACTGTACCAAGATGGGAGAGTGTTATGAGGGAGTGATACAAGTGGAGTATAAGAGCAGGCCTTTTTTTTTTCTCTCTCCACTTCTGACTGCACACTGACCCCCTTTCCTCTTTCCTCATTGACTTTGAAGCTGTGCAGTGAGTGTGGTTAGTTCATTGCTCTGACTGCCAAGGTTAATTTCAGGTAAGGAAATGCCAGACCATCCTTTTTGATGGTGACATGGTTCAGATCAGTTTAAACTGCTGACCAACCTGCATAAATAGTAAACAATTGATTCTTTAAGGTAAATTAATAATTGATATGTATGAGTATTAATATTCTGCATCCTGAATATTAATGAGTGGAAAAATATCAGTTGCTTCCCACAATTGGAGGGATTTGTTGTTTGGTAGCTGATGAACAAGCCCACGCTTTTTAGAAAAAAATAATGGTGAGCATGGATCTGGTTCCATTTGTGTGCATAGTGACACCTTGCATGCACACTTCTTTCCCTTGCTTATTTTTATATGGGCTTAAAATATATGGACAGCCAGAGAGAATTCATGTATTTTAACTTTACAGAGAAAGAGAAGCTAATTTATTTAGAATTAAACAATTTTATATTCATTCACAGCAGCATAGTGCTACAGTGAGATTCCTGGCTGAGAGACTAGAGGCATGCCTATAAAACCTCAGGCAAGGTTATGTAATAAAATGAAGGTCTCCAGAGATATACAACTGTGAACTACTAGAGAGTACTGAAAAGAATAGGAGTTGACATTTTGTAAAATACAAACCCATTTCTGTAGTTCAAATTCACACAATACCCGTTTTGAAGTGCACATGGCTGTCAGCTGTTTAACTGTAGTTTCTGAATATATTGCTGAAATTCCATCTCCAAATATAACCAAATTGTTACTGAAGTACAGAAAGTAAGACTTGTCCTCATTTTTGTGAAGTGGCAGAGGTTTACAACACAACAAATAAAATGTTACCCATCCTGAATCCAAACTGAACATAAAAATGTTTCTTGACTATTTGCTTTTCCCTGATGGGTATAGCATAAATACTTGAGGTGATCATCCTTTACCTAGCTATAAAAGGGCCTTACAGTATTCAATATTTGGATGAGCAAATAACTTCACTTTTCTGTAAAATAATAAACTTTGATCATGGCATAATATATTGTCTGTTTAGAAAAACATATATTAGCCTCCCTCTCAAGAGCAGGACCGATAGCAGTTTTAGGAATGCTGTTGATGTCTACTACAAATTGACTATTGGAAAGTTTCCTAGAAACTGTCTCTCTCACCCATTTGCCATTCTGATGATGCAAAAGGCATGCCACGCTAAAGGATTTGGCGGAAGTTTGCTAATACCTGATTCCTTTCCTGTAAAGGAAGGAAAGTTCAGCCTGTTGCCTGTGGCACTGCTAGACTAGCTATGATCTTGAAGAATGGGCAAATTGAGGCATTGCTTTTGCTGCCGTATAACTTGCTCTCTTAAAACCTCCCATTATTTTCTAAACTTTTATTTATCCACTAGTCATATTCTTTAGGTATTTTGGGTTTTGAAAAGTTTTAATATCTAATGTATGAAAAAGTTTATTGTTTGCTACTCTTTTCTTACCTACTGTGCTATCCTGGAGTCCTGTGATCTGGTGTTAAAGGAGTGTTTTAACTGAGAAACAACTGTAGCAGAAGATACACACGGCAGTAACCTTTAAGCTTTCAGAGAATAAAACTGCCTCTGGTTAGTGGAGAATTTGAATTTCGGACTTCTGAGTCTTTTGAGCAATTTGGCAAAGTGACTTTAGAGCTCTCAGAAGTATTAATAGGTGTAAATTCATACCTGTGAAAATTAGAGAGGCTTGCTCCTGCTTTGTGTGGGTTAGGAAGAGAGAAGATATTTCTGCAGTAATTAAGGACAAATGGTACGGTCTTTGGCCTTAATCCTTTTTTATGCCCATACTCAAAGTAATTAATTAATCTTAATGTTAGTTATAATTTATACAATTGCTTGGCACTTTTAAATACGTCTTGTATACTTTACAAAGTATTTAAACAGCAGTGTTTGACATGGCATAACATTGTATTCCAAAGTACAGATTAAATGGAAAAATGAAAAGCTTTTGTGGCTTTGATTAAACTGTATTTTACACTAGATGAGCATATGAAGTATTTCTATTCAAAATATTCTTCTATTTCAGTTGAGGGTTGAGGAAAATGGCATCTGAAGAGCTCGAACGCACATTTTGCTTGCCTAGGAGCACTAGCTTCCAGAAGAATGAATTTTTGGCCATAGATTTCCATTTTGTGCAACTTTACCAGGTTGCTTTGCACTGAAGAGATTTGTGACCACTTGTATTAAAAATAAATAAATAAAAGCCCCTTTTCTGAAGAGAAGGTGTGCTGATTCTTTAAAAAGGAAATATGAAGAGCAGCAGCAGACTCTTTTGATTCTCCCACACCCTTCCCTTGGTCCTTCAGGCTTAGTTACCATCTGGCCATATCGTATACACTGCTAACTGGCTGACTATTACCAACCAGAAGCAGGTGCTGCACAATATCCTTGTCTTGAATGCCTCTCACTTTCCTTTATATATTCCTTTTTTAAAAGTTCCTGCAGGGCAAGTTACTTTTCACCTAACAAGCTCTCCCAGAGGAAGAAAATCTGTAAATGTTACAGCCCAATACTGTTTCTCTTTCAAGTGAGGCTCTTCTAGAAGAAAAGAGCTAATCAATAAACGTTTTCTTCAGTGTGCTAATTCCAGTTGAAACTAAGCATTCACAGTGTTTTGGAGAGTGTAGAGAATTCTGCAGTTTTTAACTGTGATAACTAAATTAAGGCTTATTCTTTAGGTCTAATTTTGTCTTCTGCCATCTGTGCAATTCTAATACGGGGTAGGGTACAAAGTTGCAGAGAAGATAATGTGGGCTGTTCAGAGGCAAGTGAAGATGTTGCTTAGCTTATGCACATTGCTGATGGTCTGGGGGCAAGAAGGACATACCTTAACCTCTGGATTGTGCTTAGTAAATTCAACTTGGAAACTGGTGATCAGTATAGAATTCTGTAAGACCTCTTGTCCCATTATGTGAAACTCGCATTGACAGCCCAGAAATTACACTTAGAGAAGTGCTCAAATTGAGAGTTTTATCCTCACTTTCAAAGAGTTCATATTTTTGTTTTGTCTTTCTCTAAAGTTACATTAACTTGGCCACCAGTGGAGGACATACTTTAATGTTTTATAGTAGAGCTTATTTGTATCTCTCTTTTTTTTTTTTTTTTAAAGTGTTAGATCTATCGTAATTGTCTGTCTGTCTAACATTTTCTTAAGCATTCATTTTACTTAACTAATGTTTTATCCTTTATAGGGAAGAGCACATCGTGACCAGCAACTTGGGTTACTCAAGGAGCATCTAGAAAAATATTACAGAAGCCGTAATCGGAAATGGATTGTTTTATTTCCAGAGGGTGGCTTTCTTAGGAAAAGGAGGGAAACAAGTCAGGCATTTGCCAAGAAAAACAATTTGCCATTTCTTAAACATGTTACCCTGCCAAGACTTGGGGCAACAGAAGTAATTCTGAAAACGCTTGTAGCTCAGCAAGAAAATGGAACTATAGCAAGAGGAAACACTGTGATAAAAGGTAAAGATCACTTAATTCTTATGGATAAAAAGTAATTGAATGCTCAAGATCTATGAGTTACTAAGCAAAACCTTTTGTTAGTGTTGAGTTGAAGAAGTCTGTTTTAAATGCCAGAGTACACCTAGAAATCACCACCGTATTTATATAAACATTCTTATTTTTGATTTCTTTTGTAATTTTATTTTTGCTTAATTTTTATTATTTAATATTTATTGATGTTGTGGAACAGAAGAAGAGAATGTTAATTTTAATGTAACTTGGTCCACGTGATGGTTGCATGAGTGCTTGTTTCAGCAACAATGCCGGGATGGGCAAAAGATGGAGCTGATCCTTTCAGCAAGATTGATGGTCTGTGCAGTTTTATGATGGAATGGAACTCCAGGAAAAGTATTTCTGGAATATGTAGTTTACTTTCAAGTTTCTGTTCCTGATTTTGTTTGTATATAGTACTGTACAGGCTCCAGTCTTCTCCTCAGACTATTTCCTCCTGAGTTCAGACTTTTGTCTGTTCTCTCTCGGCTTTGTTGACTGTCTCTATTGCTGGGAGTTAAACTGTCACTGATGTCTGTAGATTTGACGGATGGTTTTGGATCTTTTTAATATAAGAGTTTATATATAAACTTTTATGAATAGGCCTTTTGGATCTGGAAGAGAACCAAAAACATTCACCAATGTACAAGTTTTATGCTTCTGTACTCTTAGATTTCTAGTGCGTTCACTGAATATTAAGTCTGACCTTTGTGTGTGTGTGTTTTTTTTTTTTTGCTGTTCTTGTTGAGTCTTTTTTGTTGTTGTTTTGGGTTTTTTTGTTCGTTATTGTCTGCATATACCAGGAAAAATACTATTTGATCTATTTGTGGCTGAATTATTTTAAATTCTATCTTTCTTTAAGCTCACAGAAACTATTTGCTGCAATGAGATTTCCCCTTCAGAGCTGTATGAAGGGTATATTCTTGCTCTGTCATATGTAAAAGACTCTTGCTCTAATCTTCTGCCTTCCAGATGCTTCCACACTTCATTCTGGCCACTGCAAGAAAGGAATTTTTTGAAGAATGTGTTTGTTCAGTTCAATGCAGTAAAATTTTATAAAGTTTTATTTTCAAGCTAGTCATCTACCAAATGAGTCATCTTTGTGTCTGCTAGAACTTGCTGTAATTTTTACAGTGCTGGTTACATCAGTGTCTTGCACAGAGGCTCTGCATGAACTTTCTGTGTTACGATGGTTGCTGATACAGAGCCGCTGTGCTCTGAGAGCCGCCATTTTATCTAGTAAGAAAATTCATTTAAAACAATCCAGATAGATTTTTATATCAATCTGCTTTCTTATTACAATGCTGTGTGTAATACTGTTTCAAAAAATGGAAAAGACAAAAGAATCCCCAACAAAAGATAATTCCTTCTTAATGTAATGTTGTAGGGTGCCCCGGTCCGACACAAACTCTGGTGCAGAACAGTTGTTTCATCATGGGTCACCCTTCTCCCTCCAGCCCAGTAGCTTGATTTGGGCATCAAATATCCCTGGAATTGTAGGCTTCAGATACTACTCTAAGAACTGTACAGCAGCTCTGTGTTGTACAGAGAATCTGTCTTTCTCCCTTTATAAGGTTTATAATTTGATTTCTCTCATCTCTTTGTTAGATAGAGGGGTTTATGCTGTGAAGTGCAAGGCTCAAAAATTTCATTAGTCTTAATTATGATATTAATATCCTTAATATCCAATCCTCTATTCAATTTTTGCACAAGCTGTGAATGTCCTGCAGTTTTTTGTCTAGTTCTGCCCAAGGAGTGTCACAGGAAGAACAGATGTTCTGAGGCTGGACAGTCGATGCTGCTTGATATTTTCATACATAAACTGATCTCTGCTTTTCTAAAGGAAGTAGTCTCTGTCGTCTTATTTTTTTTTCTTCCTGTGAGTTTTCTGAGGCTTTTGCCATATATTTTTACCTCTACTTGAAGTTTCAAATTTGAGCCCTCACTTATACCAAGTTCAGCTTCTGCTGGTAAAAACTGAGCTAAATGACTGAAACCTTTTTTTAATGGAGAGAAGAATATAAAAGCATTTAAGGAAGGCAATGTCACTTAATGACTTTCTTGAGTACTTCTGAAGGTATAAAATAAAGACAAGGCCTTTAAGCGTTGTCCATCCCTTAAGAAGTGTGGTACAGAAGTTACTGCTGGTGGCAGAGGAGAGCCTCCCTCTGGAGGGATGTGCTGCATCCCCAGAAGTGCTGCTGTTGCTGCCTTCGGTCCAGCATGGGCTTCTCATGTGGAGCAGAAACGGAGACAACACAAAAATACATCGTGGGCATCCAGCAGCCTGTAACCCCGGGGCACCAATGTAGTTGTTTTTGACAGAGCACTCGCTTTCTGATGTGGTTGCAAATACAACATTTATTCAATTAAGAGGGAGTTGATCTTGTAAGTTTTGAAACTCACAAAATGTTCTGGCAAAAATCAGCCTTGTTTTGCCTTTCTGGCTGAGACGTGTCTGGGCTCAGTGCTTCGGAAGCAGCAGCTGGGGGGCTGCGGCAGCCCTTCCCTGAAGATGGGCACTCATGGAGTCCCCCAACCACCAGGGGCAACTGGCATTTTTTTGGTCTCATATTAGGCTCCTATGGACTTGGTTATTTGGTTATAGCTGTGTAATCACAGTGTTTTGCGTGACTGTCTGGTCTTGTCTTCACGTGCGTCTCGCCTTAGCCCTCCCAAGGAAGGTTCGTACTGCTCGTGCTAAGGCACATCAGTACTGTGAGGTTTGGATGCAGCTGCACAGGAGAGGTCCCTGCAGGCCTGTTTTGAGCCCCTGTCCATTAATTAAAGAGAATCAGGGTTGTTTTATTTTTGAGGCACTTTGAGAAATTAAAATCCTCTGCCAGTGCTGGAAGTGGCCAGCAGCGCTCGGAGGAGAAACCAAGAGGTCAGCTTCAGTTTCGGTCTCTGCCGCTCTTTCTTCTGAGGGAGTCGCTGGCAGGCCCTGCTGCTTGGATCGCTCAGCAGCTGCTGGAAAGGGAGAGGGGAAAGCTCAGAAAAGGGGCCTGGCTGCCAGACACATCTCTGGCAGTGCTGGCTCAACAGCCCTTCTCCTGCTGCAGGCGCCAAGGCCTGAGGTTCCTACCAGACTGTAACCCGTGTTGCCATCTTTCTGAATTTCTCATGGTTTGCAGCAAATTGGTTCTTGTCCAAAGGTCTGCTGAGGGTGCAGGCAGCGCCGTGGGAGACGCCGAGGTCCTGCCCCTCCTGGTTGCGGTGCCGGCAGTTGTGTTTCTTCCCAGCTTGTGGAATCTGTTCGAGCTTTGTGGCTTTGGAAAGCAATGGCACAAATGCTCCTCGGCAGAACACAGTGTAGTATAACCAAGGAAAAAAGAAAAGGCAGCAGGCTATAAAGCTGCTTTTTTGTCCTCTGCTTTTTCTTCCCGGCAGAAACAGAATGTTTAGCTGAAGGTGGATATATATGTATGTTTATATCTTTTGCCCCTCTTGGTGTCCTCCTTTAGGATACATGCTTTAAATGGCAGTCAAGTTTTATTACTTATTTGGTCCATCCCAGATTCATTAATATTTGTGTGAATAAGATCTCTCACTGGAATACTTTTAATATTTGCCTTTGGAAGGATGTGTTTCAAGGAGGCTGATGCCTTTGCAGCTTTCAGCTGCTGACTTGGTAAGAGGGAACATCTTTCTGGCTCATATGTTTTTTTCAGATAGTATTTGTACTCCAATCATGAGCATATAGATAGCAGTTTTAGTGTCCTGAGTATTGTTCATATACCTGAAATGAACATTTCCAATTTAATTTTCCAGAAATCCTCAGTGACTTGTTTTTATTCTGGCAGCAGGAGACCTTGGATGATTATATAAGGCTTATTTTAAAGCAGCGCATGCATCAATACATCTGTGACTGTGCTGTGATAGTGTGTGGAGGTAGCTACTGCGGGACCCATTTGGTGGAAAAGAAGGTCTATGGAGGCTGAATTTATATTCAGGGATTTTTGTTTGGTTTTGCTTTGTTGTAGCTTGGGCTGGAAGGGAGGGTAGAGCTGGCCTGAGGAGTCGGTCCCTGCAGTGCTTCTCCCCAGGCCCTCCATGACCGAGGGTAAGAAAGCAGCGTGCAGAGGAGCACTGCTGTAGGCTTTCTGCGGTGAGGTTTGCACCATCGTGCACTGAGAAATCTGAGATATTAGCTAAATATTTAATATGTGATTTAGAAATGTTTTGCTGTAAATAAAGAGATAATGTGCCCATATTTGTCTGGCACTTTTTAATTACAATTAATGATCTTTCTTGCTTTCTCACTTAGAAAATTACTTGTCTTTATTACTCATTCCCACTTTACATGTGGGAAAATAATAAATTGAATGGCTTTGTTCCTAAATCCATTTCTAAATGAATGATTTGGGAGAATGTGCTATTACTTTCATCCTAGCTTTTCTCTGATATAAAACATTGCTGCTTTTAAAGCAAAGGGCTCCGCAGCCGGTGCTTTTCATGAGAGCGCCCTGGGGCCCCTCGTGCTCCTCCTTCACGTGCCTCCCGGGGCTTAGAGGGGCCGCATGGCAAGAAGGTGACGCTGTGGATACTTCACCTTGACCTACATAGTTTGCAGCTCGTCAAATTTTGGAATAGCACATTGCATGCTACTACTTAATTAAACCAGCTAAATATTGAGGAGTGCTGTCGAGCCATACTGGCGTGGTTTATTTGCATTTGTAACGAAGGGGCACAGCCTCGCGTTGGCGAGCAGATGCTCTGAAAATATTTGAGCTTGCTAGAATGAGTCAGAGACGCACGCGGTAGCGGGGCTGCGGTTGGCTGGTCGCACTGCAAAGTGCAAGGCAGGTAGGAACCTGTGAGTCAGCCCTTGCTCCTGCGGGCATCCTCTCGTTACTGCTCCTGGCTGAGACCTTCAGCGCGAGGATCCCGGTTTTCCTGCGCACGCTCGTGCAGCAGCCTCGTGGCAGCAGCTCTCAGCAGCCTTTGGCAAGGGGCTCCCCACATTCTTCCCCTCTTCGTTTTGCCCATTTCTCCTGGCTGCATTTCGATGCCTCTAGTTCTTGTGCGGAAAGGAAGGGGAGCAGTCTGTGTCTGCCCAGTCCTTTTATGCCAGCTGTGATTTTCGTCAGCCTCCACCGTGTTTCTTTCTGGGTTATTAGCTGCATGCTGGAGGAGCCTCCTGCATGTCCTTACCAACAGGTGGCTGTTTTTAATAGCCAACTTTTGGAACGCTCTACGTTATTGCTGGGCATGATGTGAACATGTGCTGTTACTTCATCGGCCCAAATATAACACGACCTCAGAGAGGAGGCAACTGCAGTTCCCACAGAGCAGAAATAAAACTGACAAGCTGAACGGAGAGCGCCGTCTGGCAGCGTGCTGCCTTCTTGGTGTGCTGGCCAAACACGGTGCTTAGATTCTCTCCCCTGGATTTGAAATTTCCATAGCAAATTATTTTCATCTGTTTTGACTATTTTTTTCAGCTTCTGGACTTTTCTTTTCTTTCTTTTCTTTTTTTTCTTTTTTTTTAATGCCTTTGAAAATTCAGCTGCAGTGCGTGAAATAAATCCCTCTTATCCAACTGCCCTACCCTAGTCTTAAGGCTAGTGGCAAAGGGCTCTGTGTGGCTGCTGTTCTCTGTGACCTACAAGCAGGCACCGAGAGCCCTTTCGAAGGCCTACCTGTATATGCACTTAAAGTGCAAACTGAGAAAGTTAGAGTTTCATTTTCCTCTTTTACTTCTTAAAGTAAACGGGGACTTTTAAAGTTGACGGGTGCTTCTTAAAGGAAACGAGGAGGAACACCTAGCATATGGGCCAAAATGTCGTGTGAATATAACCATGCAGCAAGTGAAGGTGCTCTGTTGTGTGTGCTGCAGTACCTAAGCTGAACAGAAACGACTGGGAAACCAAAATGTTGCCTTTGCTGAAGAGTCTCTCTGTGCTGTTTGATGAGACCTGAATTTAATATTGAGCTGCCTTATTTTATCATTTTAAGCTAAATTTTTTTGCTCAGTGATATCTTATAAAGTAATGTAAAAATGAAATAATTATAAAATCAGTGGCATGTACTTTCTGGTTTAATTTTAACATCACTTTTCTTTTGTCCCTAGAGAGCAAATCCAAAGGCCTCCAGTGGGTGATAGATACAACCATTGCGTATCCCAAAGGTGAACCTTTAGACATTCAAACTTGGATCCTTGGCTACCGACAACCAACAGTTACACATGTACATTACAGGTAGGAATGTACCTTTTATTCTTGTAAAGAGCCAAAAATGTGTTCAGAATTATTCAAGGCATGCTTTAGGCTATGGGAAATTGGGAGCAACACCTTTACTTGGTGTCTTCTAAAGCCAGGCAATTTGTTATTTAAGTACAGCTTTCTTCTGAAAAGTTCAGGGACAGTTTTATATCTTAGCACATTTACAGTTTCAGCTAATATCCTGTGGCTAACTATAAACATGGGGATGATTTGATGATTAGGTCATCTTTTCCACTTTTATGTTACAGTGCTAAATGCTGTGGAGGGGTACCTACATAGGTGAAATTTCTGTGTTTAGTATTAAATTCTAAATATATGGCGATAAAATAAAGCTTTTTGGGTGTTTTTCTACATAAATACTACTGCAGAAAGAAGCAGGTGGCTTAGAGTAGTTACTTCAGTGGCTGCAGAGAGAAATTGCTGTTCATAATCCCAGCATCTAGGCATTTAATGCAGCATCTGTGCTTGCCCTCTCCTAGTACCTTCACAGTATAAACAGCTCTGTATTGTTACTGTTTTTCTTCTTGTCCGTGGTGATGCTGGTCTGCATAAACTTATTCCACACCATAATTTTATGCATGCTCTAATGGCTAGCTGGTGTCTTTGCAAAAACTGACAGGTACATTCTTCATGGGGTGTTATGTTTAGTTCCAGCATCTAAGGAAAGCAACTTGCAGCTTTTTTAAGGGAAACATAAGGCTTCTATCCTTGGAATTTGAAGCAGCCTCAACAGAATAGGAGATCTCTATCAAGGAGCGTGCTACCTTTCCATACAAAAAAGTCTGTTATCTTCCAATTCTTTATAAATACCAGAGTCTTTGAATACCACTTACTCCAGCTCTCTTATTCCCACTTGATAACTTCAACAGTACAGTTATGCTCTTCAGCAAAAAAACAAACTCATGTCTGCTACATTCCAAGAATACCAAGAGCTCAGAAGTGGAATAGAAGTAATCAATATAAAAATAACGTAAATCTTGACATTCCATATTATGAAGCTGTTAGTTACTACCTGCTTTTGCAGTAGGTTTCTGATTTGCAAATCTGCCCTCTAGAAAGGAGGAGACCTCGCTGAAGAATTTAGATCTAGTTTGCTGCAGACTGTACGAGGTTGAGGGCTCTGCTTATTCCAAAAATGAAAGTGCTGCTGCTTTCAAGTCAGAGCAAAGGTCCATCTAAAGGACCTCTGTGCTGCTCTTACACACACTTTGCATAAGTACCTGATACTGACATGTATATCAAAACAAATGTAATGAAATCTAATTGCTAATGTAATACTTAAAATGACATATTTGTCTTACTGGTGTATAGAAGAGTCTTGAGTGCGTGTCTCGCAACGCAAGCACTAGTTGCCCTCATGAGTGATAGAGCGCAGTGTGCAGTGGTGATGAAAGGAAGGTAGTGTATAAAAGAGTCTTGAGTGCGTGTCACAAAACAACTGGCAACCCAAGCACTAGTTGCCCTCATGAGAAAATCAAGTGATAGAGCTCAGTGTGCAGTGGTGATGAAAGGAAGGTTCTTGTCCCTCAGAGCTCTTGGAACTCACTTCGTTACTTTTTAAAAATTTGCCTTGCAGTCTAGTTTCAAAAACTTTTTTGCTTCTGATCCATTTATAACTTGAATTATTTGTGAAAGGAAGATGGTTTGCTATCCTGTGTAGACAGCAGCACGATAATCTTCTCTCGAAAGAGTTAAAATCTGGTAACTGGAGATCAGATAATTTGATCATAATTTTAACCCCAAATTGCATTGGTTTGTCTGAACTAATGTTTTGCTCCCCAGGGAGCCTAGATTTTATACAACATCCTTTCAGACATCCTTGCTTGGCCCCCCGAATTGCAGTTTAACCGTGAACGACGTTTCCCAGCATCACGACTGCGTCAGTGCTGCGTGATGCACAAGACGGGCTGCTGACTGGAGACTGTTTCCACAGCCATGTTTAAATCTGGCCCTGCTTTTTATAGAAATCTGTTTTTTCAAGTTTTTTTCAAACATACTTGCACCCTAATTTACATAAGATGTCATTATATTATTATATTATATTCAGGTCACCTTACTCTTCCCTCACATCTCTGGGGTAGCTGCAAGTTGAATGTATTTAGCATTTCGATTTGAAGTTTGTTTGTTTTTTCCCCAAAATACTTGCTTCGAAAAGTTTTTATTAAGGTGAAATAACTTGCTTCTAACTGTGTAGATTTAAAACATGATTTTGAATAGAGAGGAACATGATGAGACCTTCCTTGCGTTGAATTTCAATGTTACAATGCTTGTAGTACTAAGCTTTGGAAAACTATTAGAGATTATGTGAGTGAGTGGGTGGGTGTTTTTCCAGGAGGGGTCTAAATCACTGGAGAATGTCATAGGACAAAGGCAGGTGTCTTCATTTCCAGGCTCTCAGTGCCTGGAGTGCCTGCCTTAAAAATAGCCTCTAGTTCTTATGGCTGACCTTGTACAAACTTTAAACTCGTGCAGAGGCCGGTCTGTGACATTTCCCTGCTTGGTGTAATACCTCTAAACTGCAAACTGAAGGTCTTGGTTTTAACGGGTGCTTTAACGGGACAGCTTTCCTATCTGGTAATTCTTAAATGGGGATGTCAAGTGCTGTGGATTGTAAGAGCTGCCTTTCGATCCAAGGTGGCAGCTGCTTCGGACCCCTGCAGCAGAGGAGGCAACCTGGGACCCATCCCTCTGCAAGCGACGCTCCGGGCTGCTGCGTCCAGGGAGCAGATGTTGCGTCCGGGTCACGGTGTTTCAGTAGCCACTGATGGACATGGCCTTCATGAACTTGGCCAGTACCTTTTTTAACCTGCTTAAGCTTTTGGCTTCTGTGAAGCTTCCTGACACTTGCAAAGTCTGGTTGTTCTTGAAGGTGGCAGCAGGGAAAAGTTCTGTTGCTTCTGTTCAGTTTTGATGACTGCCCTGGGGGCACCCTATTCCCTGCGTCCTGAGGATAACAAGTAAATCTCCGCTCAGTTCCTCTCATGGTACGACCCGTGATTTTGTAGATCTTCCTCGTATCCCACCTTAGCTGTCCTCTGTGTTCAGCGCCTCCTTAGGCAGAAGCTTCCCTGCATGGCTGGTTATGTCGTCCCCTTGGCCTGTGCCCTTTCTGACCGTCACCTGTGAGATGATGGACGTCTTGAACCTGCCAGGGTAGCGTTAGCTGCCTTGGAGCCCCGCACTGCGTGTGTGTGTGCAGCTGCTGCTGCTTTGTCCTTGCCTGCCTCAGTGCCAGTTGTTTTGCATTCACTGGTGCTTAGGTGCACCTGCAATTGCTGGCATGTCTTTCTGCAACTCTGCTTTAGCTTTGAATATCCAGAATAACTTTATACTAGAAAATTTTCATGTCATTTTCCTACTTTTTTTTTCTTTTCTTTGTTTTTCCCCAGATTTAGTGTGTTTTTTAGCTGTGATATACCTGGCTTTTTGATGTACCTGTGATCAGACTGCAGTCTGTTGGAATGCAGGCAGTGAATTTTCACCTTCAATGTTCTTGATAATCAAATCATAGTATATGAAGGATAGTTGGACACTCAGATTTATTTTTAGTTATTTTTCACATTGCTTAAAAAATATTTGTTTACGTAAAGGATATAAATATATTTATCCATGGCAGCATTAACTGAACTGTATTTGTGTATGAATTTACTTGCACTGTATCATCTTTGACTGTTGTATATATAGAAATTCCAACAATAACTGATCATTTCCTCTCTTGTAGATCAGCTGGCTTTATTCTTTTTATGGGGAGGTTGTGTGTGTGTGTTTTTTTGTTTGGTTGGGTTTTGTGGGTTTCATTTGGTTTTTCGATTGGTTAGTTTCGGGCAGCGTGATGTCAGTGATGGACAACCCCAGAGTTTTAGCAGCTTGAAATCCTCTACCAATGACTTGGTGACAATTGTCAGTGCCACGGAGGACTGGTGAAGGTGGAGTGTGCACTGGGAAGAGTGAGGATGGCAGATAGGGCAGGAATAACTGTTCTTACTGAGAGAGTTCCCAGGATTAAAGAAAACCTTAAAGCTCTGCATGTGCCCTACACATGCCTTTACTTCTCCTCCTCTAGTGCTGTGTTAAATTAAATTACGACCTTTTTTTTTTCTGTGCTGTCAGCATGTTAATGCATCCTGACCATATTTATTCCAGAGAAGAATAGTACAGCAGCCACTCTAAGGAAGGCAAATGTGAGCATACTTGAAGGCCTCGAGTGTCTCCAGGTTCAGATGCAGAGTCTGAGATGTGCAGAACCCAGATTTGTTCAGAGCACTGTGGACATTGCTCTGTGATAATGGACCTGAAGGCGCCTCGGAAATTACAGCCCCTTCTTTTGTTATGGCTGCTCAGTCTGGCTTCCTGCCATTCCCATTCGTCACAACCTGTCTCCTCCTGCCTTGCCCTCTTTCACACCACTCTTTTCCTTTTCTCATAGCCAGGCCTTTGAACTGAGGATTATTCCTTTTCACCCTGCTTAGGGGCCAGCACAGGGGTGCTGAGGAGGCAACAGCCAGCCTCATAGTGTCTGTTTTAGCTATTCTTCCTGGCTGAGGGAAATGGCAGAGGAAGCTCCATTTCACCCTGTGTCCCTTTAGCTGCATGTTCCATTTTGATGGATGGGTGGAAACTCCAAGTTTACATGTTTTTTTACATGTTTTTTTACATGTTTTTTGGAAGCTGAGCGCTAGGCCAAGTATCAAAAGAAACTTTTTGCTAAAAAAAAAAAAAAATCTGCCTTTTAAGAAGCATTTTGGGAAGGGTGGCTGTCACCTGTTCTCAGCATGGTGTAGCTCTATGGATCATTTTGTGCCATGTGCATTGAATGTAAACCCAGCTTCACTGCGGTTATGCTCAGTAGAAGTGAGTCGAGTGGTTTGATGTTTGCCTAATGGGACAGCATACTGGCAGCTCTTCTCACCTCCCACTGTTTACCCTCGCAGATTTGGGGTTTTTTTGGATGTTTGTTCTTTTTACACCAGTCGCTTCTTTAGTTTAACTGGATTTGGCATTTCTCAGCTAGTCTCTGAGTTTCCCCAATAATAAAATTTCCAAGTTTGTCAAAATCTGAGTCTCAAATTGATAAAAGTGAATGTCAAGTTTCCCTGACAGTTTCCAATCGATCAAGAATGGAGTGGGGTTTTTCATGAGCCTCCTGTTGAGCCATGTCCTTGCACGATTCCAGCCATCCCCTCCCATTGGGCCACTCTTTGTACTGTGCTGCGCCTGCCGAAACAGGCTTTCCGCTGCCAAGGACCTGCTTTTATTCTGTGCGTGTCTACATGAATGCAGGTTTATTAAAAATAAGACAAGAGTCTTAGCTATAAATAAGATGCAGTACGTTGTGGCTGCTGAATGAGCTTTGCAGAAATTTCTGTGAAGGACATCTGGTTTGGCAGTATAGTTTAATGTGTTGTGTTTTGTTTGTTTTTGGGTGTGCATTCTTTATTTTCTTGTTCTTAGCAAATAACTGGCTTCTGGTTGTGTTTGAGATCTGGCCACATCCTTCATGATACAGTTTATTGTAAAAGTAATTGAAACAGCAATAAGATTATGATTTCAAACGAGTAGGAAGTAATATAGAAGCCCTAATTCAGGGTAGGACATATGATGAAAGGCAGTTAGTACTTACGGATGGAATCAGTGATTTTTAATATGGAATTCAAGGTTGTTACTTAAAAAAGGACCCTTTAAAAGAGATCACATGTTTCTAAAAATACTGTGCTCCTGAAAGTGATTTGTTAGCTTTTGAGAAGAGCAAAATCCAGAGGAAGAGTTCCTTATAACGTTGAGGTAGCTGAAATGTATCATTTAAATTGGCGTGAAACTGTAGATTTTAAGGTAACTGCCCTCGTTCTCCTCTTCCTGTTCTTTCCCTCTTCTTTGCACGCATGTTTCTGCAGACATGTTTTCATTGGGGGGTTTTCCATAAAACTCCTTTGGCTCTTTCATTCTTCTTACATGCAAGAGTATGACACAGAACCACGTTAATCATTTTAGGTGGTTTGCAGCCTTCATGTGCTACTGGTTCACACAAGTAATGCAGATGTCCTAGTGACAAAATTGTCAGCACGAGGCAGGTTTCCATTTTCCTTTCAATTTTATTCTTTCCCCTGTAATTAGGGGAAAAAAGAAAGACACCTGCAGGGGATGGATGCTGTAGTGTCTGTCTGTGGACACGGTGTAGTGTTGTGGCAGACAGATCTCTGGTCTTAGGCAGCTGCTGGATGGTTTAGGATGAAGGATCTGCTTCTGAACATGATGTGTTCTTCAAAACTTAGGACACTTACCTTTAAGACTTGCATTCTTGTTGGGTTACTTGAGAGCAAATAATTTCAGATGTGAGGAACACAGAAAAATCATTTAAAACTGGCTTAAAAATAATCCTGTGCTTCTTGATGTATCATTTTTTTTCTATACCAAAGGAATTTTGTAGGTGTTTTATCTCTAATTTGCCTAAGTTACTAAGGTGAAATTCAGCTAGTAAAAATAAAAGTCTGTAAGAATATAACATCTAAAGATGTAGTTGAAAATGCTTCTAAATAAACCAACAGTCGCCATTAAGAATTGATGACAGACAGCGTAGCATTACTGGAACACGAGTTTTTTCCAGCCTGCAGGAAGTTTCATTCAAAAAGTGTGCCACTGCGATTGGTTCTGTAACTTTGCAGAAGCACGTTTCATAGCTGGTGGTTCACACATACAGGCAATATATTGATTCCTGCAAGAAGCTGGATGGACTCAGGCAGGGCATGGATGCGCCTCCTTCCATTACGCTCCCGCAGAATCACTGTATTAGCTACCCCGTTAAATTGCTGCTTCCCCATTAGTTTCTCATGGGTATTTTGTGGCTCTTATAATGCTTTCAGATTAGTGGGCACATTCTTGGAAAAAAATACCAAGCCTAATTGGGTTACTGAGCACTAGAGCTGTTGGGCAACTGAGAAGCAAGGGTGGAGGTGAAGAGCCCTGCAGCTTATGACAGAAAGCACGTGTGAAGTTGGGCAAGGACTTCAGTCTGAGCTCACTCGCACGCTTTTCCCAGTCCGAACCATCGTGAAGCTTACATAAGCAAGCATCTGTCTCAAAAACACACTGTGAAACACAATGCTCAGCTGTTGTGTCCTTTTGTCTCTTAGCACCAGGTAGGTAGCAGAGAATAAAAATAGTGCTTGAGATCTTGGTTGCACGTAGGGGAAGAGAGTTGTTTTTAATGTTACACCCTCAAGAAAGATGGATCCTGCCTTGTGGGCTGAGTGTCTGTTTGATTTGTTTTGCTTGAGTGTCCATCATCCCGCTTGGATCTGCCTTATGGCATCTGGGCTCCAAGATAACATAGTGCTGTGTTCTGTCTTCTGTTGTTTGCGTAACGGACAAGGCAAGAGTTGGAGCAATTTACTGGACCACCAAGATGGACATTGGGGAACAAACGTGGGGAAGGAGAACCCAAATGATAATTTGAGTGAATGATTGAATGTCTTATCTGGAATTACAGTTAAAAATAGGAGGGGGAACAGAGACTCCTTAAATGTTGGTGTCTGGAAGACTTGTTGTTGGCTTCACCTCAGCTCAAAGCCGAGGCACAAGAGGAGCTGTAAAAGGAGGAGATGTGAATGACCTAGCAACGAAACATGGCATTTGCCAGAGGTGTCCTCATTTTCCATAGCATCTCGTTCCCGTGTCTGCTCACACACTTCCACGTGGTTGTACTGTTACCTCAAATGCTTCCCAGGATAATCAATCAAGCCTCTGTTTAAATAGAAGAGAGGTTAAGTGAGAGCTCAACTGAAGAGAAACCTACAGTACCCATCCTATGTTCTGAAATACGAATTTTTCAAGCTTTACTGATGGGCAAATCTCTTCTGCACTGACCTCCCAGTAAACCCAATTTGGATGTATAAAAGAAGGCATGAAGAGTTCCCTGATTTTTTTTTGTTTGTTTTATTTAATGCTTTGAGGTTTTTGTGCGAAAAGAGTGGAAGGAGAGGGTTTCTCTTTTATCTTCATGAATTATTCCTTGGACATCTGTGGGTTTTTTTTCTTTTTTTTTCTTTTTTTTGTGTGTATTTTTCTTGCTTGTTTGTTTTAAACAGAGCCATTACTCAATGTAGAAGTACAAAAATGTTGGTAGTTCTTGCCTTAGTGTTTAAAGGCATAGCAGTAATATTTGAGTACCCTCACATATGTTGTAAATTTTCAGTGTTAAACCTGCCCTTGTCATTTCAGACAAAGCTGATTGATAGCTTCTGCTGAAAAGCATTGAGGATTTGTTTTCTGGTATGCGGAAGACCTGTGGGCACTTAGTGGTGGTAGTACATACCTTCTGCCTAGTGAAGAACTGTTTCCTCAAAATTGAGGATGAGCCTTCAGTCTTTATTTCTTTTGGTTCTGCTTTGCATTCGTAAGGATAGTAATATAGTGTGGTGCTGGAGGTGTGGGTTTTTTTTTTTTTTAAAGGGATATGAGCCATCCATAGCTTCTGTGCAGCACTGCATTTGAGAGGAGCTAATAGTGCCAACATCCTCATGCATCTGACTGGTTACCTAGAGTATTCTGATTTTGTATGACTAATAATTATGTGATCAGAGAACGAACCATGCAGTTAGGTTTATAGCAGGCTCCTTTCTGTGGTGAACTGGGGCAGGATGGTATGAGCTTTGGGGTTTTTATTTGTTTGTTTTCCTTACATGCAGAATGTTTTTCCTAGATTTAACTATGTTTGTTCCTCCGGTAGGATTTTTCCAATTAAAGACGTCCCTGCAGAGCCTGAGGCGCTTGCACACTGGCTATACCAACGCTTCATTGAAAAGGAGGATCTCTTGACACATTTCTATGAAACAGGTGGGATGTTTGCTAGCCAAGAGAATTGTGCCGTGATGATGCCCTTTTCTTAAAGGGATATCAAAATGATTTAAGAATGTATAATTATTCTTCACATGTTGTATGCATATGATTATTCACACTTAATGTATGGCAAAAGAACACATGATAAGTGATCTAGAGAAGACAGATTCCCAGCTCACATTAGAATAGGATGGCATTTGGAAGTTGGCACGTTGAAAACTGAGATAAGGAAAATTTATTTTTAAATGATTTTGCTGTGAAACAAGCTGTTACAGGATTTCTCTGGGTAATTTATCAAGATTCAAAACAGCAGTTAACACTTGCATAATAAAAGTATTCACAGTTGATGCTAATAAATTTGTGGGGTTTATAAAACCTTCAGCAATTAAAAATGAGCAGGACCTTAACTAAAAGGGATTAAACAAGATTTAAATGAGGCAGGCTAGTCGGTCTGTGAAGTGTTGACATTTGACATGTTCCTCTGGCTCTTGTACCTTTGGAGAAAATCAACCTAAATAAATAGCCTCCAGGTCCAGCCTAGAATGGTAGAGCTTCCCTCCCACCCCTGCTAAGCTGACCAGCAAGATGTTATAGTGGTAAGAATTACATAGCATGAGGTCCTTCAAGGCTTGACCTGCAGCCTTGTGCTATCAGTACTGGCCTCCTTGCTGCGAGATACTGTGGACCCTTCCTCATAAGAGAGATGCTCCAGACCAGACCCTTCATCGTCTCAGTGGCTCTTTGCTGGACTCTCTCCAGTAGCTCCATGTCACTCTTGTACTGGGGAGCCCAGCAGTGGACTTGGCGTTCCAGATGTGGCCTCACTGGTGCTGAGCAGAGGAGGAGGAGGAGGATCCCCTCCCTTGGCCTGCTGGCAACACGGTTCTTCATGCACTGCAGGATGCCATTGGCCTTCATGGCCACAAGGGCACTGTGGTGAACTTGCTGCCCCAAGGACGTCCAGGTGCTTCTCTGCAGAGCTGCTTTCGAGCGTGTCATCCACCAGCCTGTGCTGGCTCCTTCCCAGGTGCAGGACTCTACACTTCTCTTTATTGAACTCATGATTAATGTGAAATACCCAGATAACACCTTTAAAATGAAGGCTGGAGAATTATTTCCTCAAAGTACACTTCTCTTTTTCCATCCAGTTGATTTATCACCTGTCTTTGAGCAGTTATGTTTATGCAGAATACAAAACGGAGAAATTCATCATGATAAACAAGAAAGATAAAATCCAGAGAAGTTAAAATTTGAGTTTTATTTGGACATAACATTGATAGGAATTTATCAAACCTAGACCGAATAGGAAGACTCTAGATGAGATAATGTAGCTTGTGTCTGAAGAAAAATAATCCTCTCCTTTAAACAGCTGTAATGCTAATAAATAACCTGAATAAACTGCATTTAGTATTCCAGAATGAAACGTTAAACAAGAATCCTACTTCTGCTAGATGATTTATTGCAAATACTATTTTAATATAGTTTTGAGTGCTTAACTGTCAGCTGTCATGCTTAAAATGATTAGTAGGATTCCTGAGCAACGCAGAGTTGTGCTAGACCTTACGAACGTCATTCAGACGTTACTGATGACAAAAGGCAGGCCCTGCTGAATAAATCACCTCTGAATGTGTGTGTTGGAATTCATTAGGCAAAAAAGACCGCATTTGTAGCTTTAAACAAAATCACAATAGGATGCAGTGAGTTCTTGTTATTGGGGATGGAATATTTTACAGATAGTGACAAAATGAAATGGTCATACCCCCAAAATGTAACCAGACTAGAATTTCAGTGAGTATAATGAATATAATCATACTTACTCCTTGAATTGTGCTTGATAATGGGCTGTAATTTGCTAGCATACTAAGCATGCATTAATAAGACATGTTAATGTAGCTGCCACGACATAGGTTAATTTATGCCATACTAGGCATAAATTAGCATATTTTAGAGCTACTGCAGCTCCTGTCAGTGGAGAATGTGCTGCCATTTCCCTTGCCTCACTGCAGCAGCGCCCTTCCCCTGCGCTCAACACCCCCTTGGCCTCATGCCAAGGGAATCGCTGCCCAAGAGGTGCAAGGATGAGGCAGGGGGAAGAAAGTTGTGTCTGCACAGGGCAATGGAGAGCACTTGGCTCATCCTGCCTGTGGAAGTGAGGGATCAGCCCCTCTGGAGATGTCGCTGGGCCTCGGAGGTAGGCAAGGGGAAGAGAAAGTTGCTGTCTGTATTGAGGAGTAAAGTTAGGTGTTGGTTTAAAAGCAAAACAGAAAAAAAAAAAAAAGGGTACGGAAGGACATGGCAGAATAAATGCAAAATGCACTTTGTGGTGGGTGAATAGAAGATGACCCTTTGGTGGATTAAAACTTGCAGCTGAATGACCATTACTGGTGAATAAATAGGGTGGCAGATCTGCCCATATGTGAAAATATGCATCAATGAGTGGAGGATGATGGGGCTCATCGAGGATGGGTTTTTGTTGTTGTTGTTGTTCTTCTTTAATTAATACAGCAAGAAAAGCTTTGCCTTAAATGCTTGATTGCAATTCCTCCAGCGATTGCAAATGTGAGGCAGAGAGATAAGATGCTGACAGTATCTAACTGCAAAAATCGTGTTGTTTCTCAGGTTCAAAATTTACATTTCTTTATCTTTACTCTTTCATCTTTTGTTCTTATATGAGTGACTGTGACTCCATAATATTATAGCAAATAGATCTACATATATAGTGTCCTCAGTTTTTATATCCACTGTTCAGGATTCACCAGGAAAAAAAAAAAGATTCATATCTACTGGACTTTGCGCTTTTCTAAAATATAATGCAAATTCTTAATATACTGATGTAAATATATGCAAATACTTTGTTACTTTATGATTATAACCCCCGACTTATTCAAACATATTTAAATACAGCGTTATAAGGCAGAAACAGTCATTTTTAATCATGTCTGCAGTGTCCTGCCTTTCTCTCATAAACATACACGGATATTTCAAATAATCTTTCTAGAGAACTCTACAGGTAGCAAATTACAGCGCTTCCTTAATCTATGTGATTGACTAGTCAGTGAATGTTCACACAGTATGAAAACTGTATTTTTTTCAAATGTGCATTGCTCCTTTGCAACAGGCAAAACTGATACCAACAGCTATAAAACTTAAATTGGTAACAATCAAATTTGATCTCATGGACATCATTGTAACTTTAAAAATACTGCAGAAAGCTTAGTTGACAATTGGATATCTGTGCAAAGTTGAATACAGCGAGGCTGGTTTTTAAAGTTTACGAGTTTATGCTCAGAGTTTAATTTTAGATTCAAATAAAAGGGTAATTGTGCCTAATCTCTTTTCCTATGTTCTCGAAAACAACATACTACTGGAATTTATTTTGAAAATTTACAGCAGAAGACAAGTAACCATTTTTTTTGGTGGCAGTGCAGGCACTCCAGGTAAAGAATAATACACCCTGCCATGCCTGCTATGCCAGCATTGATTGTGTTATTTCTTTTCTTTTTTAGGAGCTTTTCCTCCACTGCAGGGCCAAACAAAAGCTGTTTCTCGAGCGATGACCCTCAGCAATTTGTGGCTAGTTTGCGTACAATCATTTGCGTTTTTGTCGGGCGGTATGTGGTACTGCATCTTCCAGTATTTTTATCATTGCCTATTTTAAAAGTTGAATGGGACCTGAGGACACAGTGGGAATCCAGGCTCTTGCCAATGAGTATCATGTTGTATGTGCAAATGTGAATATACAAGCGTAAAGGAAATACTGGATGGACTCTTACCTCTCATTGGGGAAATTTTAAAAGTGAAGATCAGTAACATAGTGACCTGATGATGTATTATTTTAAGAATTGTCTGTATTTTTAAAAGGTGTATACTCTCACCCACACTTAAGCAAATTCAGCATTTGGACAAAAGGTGCAATCGTACAACCGCCGTAGAAGAATGTCCGCGACCAGAAAACGATCACCACAAGTATTTCTTGGCATTGTAGTTAGAGCTCAGAAAATGCAGCAACGTGTCTCATCAGTAGTCCGTACAACACTTGTGTGGTAGAGATTCCTCATTGGCACAAACTCGTGCTTTACTGCAGCTCATTGTGCTGGAGTCACTGAAGATGCTCTGCCGGGCGGCTGCTGCTGCCCGGTCAGCAGCGCCTGCGTTAGAAACACCTCTCTGAAAACAGGACCCAAATGAGATCCAGTGTCAGATGGTTTCTGTGAGGAATCAAGTGCTCAAAAAACACCACTGCAGTATCATAATGTGATTAAAAGTTATCCACACTTGATGAATCAGCCCATCCTTGCTGTGGTTTGACCATCAGCTGTCTGAATTCTGTGCGCTAACAGTATCCCGTGTTATGAGGGAACTTGGAAAAATACAAAGTCACTTGATTTACTTTCCCATTTTGTATTTAGAATGCATCTCACTGATCACTATCATTTTGCAAAATGCACTTTTAAAGATGAAACTACAGTGAAGGAAAGATATACAGCTTAGGGATAGAGGAAAGCTTTTATCTGTCACAAATCGGAAGCCAGAAGGATTCTAGCTGTTTCTGAAGGTCTGCTGGTGGTGCTGGTGATTTTTAGCCACCTCTGTTTTTTGTATACTGCAGTCTAACCAAGGTGACCTTTGAATGGTTTACGGAGGCCTTTTTCTCCCTTACTAGTTGCAACTGCTCTAAATATACTTGTGGGAGACTTTGAATAATTCAATGCCAACAATCTTAATTTTTTGTTTAGGAAAAAAAAAAATAAGAAAAACTATTTTCTTAAAAAATGGGTACAGTTGCTAGCATAAATCCGCAAAAAGTATGGTAAATGCTCCGAATAACTACATGGAGGGCAGCATTAGGTCTGGCACTGTGCTAAAATCATAATGGAAGAAGAAAGAGTTAAATTTAAAGGCAAACTGGAACAGATGACACTTTCAGATGTAATGTATGGTGCTTTTGAAAGGATGTCAGTGATGTATATTCTCACTTCTGGCAGGTCTGGTTGGCATCGTGCCTGTGTGGTGACACGAAGGTTTGAGAGAGCTCTTCCTAAAATGAAATTCGTGTCTCTCAATACAAGTGGGATAGCCAGAACTCAGCTGTGGCATGCCGCCTTTTATATACTAGTTTTATTGGGAATAAAGCCAGCCCTCAGTAGTTCTGGCTCTGCTTTAGCAGTATTGATCCTTCTGTGTCTCGTGCTGTATGAATGGCACCGGGTGCTGTCCCCGATATAAATCCCAGCCTCCCCTCCCTTTGGAGCAGGGGGAAGAGCAGGGAGCACAGCAGAATTGGAAGCAAAGCAGATTTCCCAGGTTTCATGCAAAAATATCCAGTTAAATGTGCCCCAGCCCCCAGAGCAGCAGTTTTATCATAACTTCCTTGGCGGGAAGGCCAAGGACGGCGCTCGCCTCCAGCCCCTTGTTTTGCGGGAGATGCTGGTTGGAACGGCCGCCCTTCGGAGCCAGGCCCGGCGCCCGCATCGGAGCACAAGGTAAAAGCCCAGGAAAGGAGGTATGTACCGAAAAGGGAGGCAGGCATGGGTGCGTAGCGTTTTTCCTCAGGCTTCTGTTGAATTGCAGCTGGGAGAAGGAATGTATTTAATTTGCCACTTTACGGGAAGATGCTAGGACAGCGGGGACCGTTGCCACCCGCGTGGGTCCTGATTCCGACCCACAATCAGGTGATATAAAAAGGGAAGCTCGTATAAGCAGATTGCACAGTGGTAACTCGCATCAGGAGGCTATTCTTTATTAAACCCAGTAAACTCTGTGTAAGAGCATACTGTTTTTTTTCCAAATGCAGTATATATATGTATTTTTTTGCAGTGGACTGCAGTCACAGCGAGTGTTCACATGCTGCCTAAGGAAATGTTAGTACTGCGCAATAATGTTTCAAAAGATCATTTGATTTATCCAGTTGCTGTTACCGTTCAGTTTGTTCTTTCGTTGTTCTTGACTATTGCAAGACACTTGTTGGCAAGCACTGATCGTAGTTCTGACAGGGAGAGCAACTCGTGTTGGATCAGTTCCTTCTCGCCCGCGCTGGGAAGCGCGAAGCGAGCCTCACGCTGTGTGTCTTTATGGCCCAGTTGTTGTCGATGATGCTGGAATGAAAACTATTAGGAAATCCGAAGTACCCAGGACAGTACTCCCAGCATGAATGTGGATGCGACCTCATGAAGGATAATTGTTTTTTTTTTAATTATTTTTTTTAATTAAGAGAAGAACATAAGATGTCCTGCGTATAGGAAATTCTGCACTGCGTACCGTGCTGGTCAAGACAGGAGCGTGGCAAGCTGGCTTGGATGTCCTGAATCCCCGTGAGCGCCAGCAGGCTGTGCAGCTGGCCAGTGTTACAGCCATCATGGGCATTTGGACGGAGCCATCGATGGGTTTGCTGTGCTCAACAGCTCAAAACACGTCTGATAGAAAACGATGTCAGTGAACCACAGTTGATCACAAAATGGTTGCATAACTAGTATACCCTTGGAATTAGGAGCAATGCAATGGAGGAGTGCATAGGAGATATAGGATGGAAAAAAAATACAGAAAAATGTTCCTGAAGGCTGTTGCACACACCGGTGGGAGGGTCGTAGTTCGTGTGAAAAGGGCTGGCGCTCTGCCAGGGCTACACGCAGCACCCATGGGTTGTGTTTGCTTCATCGTTCATACCTGAGTTGTTACAGCTGAAACGGTGCAAGTCACGTAGTTTAGCGTTGCTGCTCTTTGATTCCCATTTTGTGAAGAATATTTGCCCATTCACCACGAACAGTGTTGGTTTCAGTTCCCTCTCTGTGCGTGTTCCATCCTTACGGATTCTCTTATTTTATGCATGGTTTTGTCGAGTGTTTCAGCAGTGGTGTGTTTTACAGGAGGGATTTCTTTTGAAGTCATCAGATTTTGAGAAGCAAGATTTCCATTTATTTTTTGAATTAAAACTATTAGGACCGCTGTGGTACTGTTGATTATACGCTTGTTTTGCAGACAATGTAATTGTTTTTCTGCTGTTCGACATTGCCATAAAGTGCTGTTAACCTTTTCACCTGTTTGTAGAAGATAATACAAATACCGATCACTGTGTGTGACAGTATTCAACTGCTCCACTTTGCCTTGACGTAAAATTTTGGGACCAAAGGTACTTAAAAGTGGGATTTCCAGATCACGAGACCGGGGTTCAGTGCATTCATCAATAGTCGGCTGGAGATTTTGTGCTGGTATGATGCAATCACACAAAATAATTGTACATCTGGGGTACTGTATTGTTTGGAAATAATGGAGCCATATGAAATAAAAGGTTATTTTGCAAAATTGCATATTTGATGTTTTTTGCACTTTTTGTTGAAAAGAACAAGAGCAAAATTGAAACCACGCTCTGGTTTGCGGAGTCACCTACATTGCGAACCCCTCCGAGCAGCTTTGTTTCTTCTCTGTAAAATTGTAGACTACCTGACTGCGATACAGAGAAGTCTTCAGAAGGATCCTATGCATTTTAAAGGTAAATCTTTTTATTCTGTTATTAGATAATAAAACATACATACACTGAACAACTGCTCTATTAAGAGTTGGTTCCATTAAAGTTATAGAATGGTGTTAATTTTGTATGATGATTTTTTTTTCATTTTTAGCTCCAAGTTTTTCCTTCCCTCCTTTGTTACCTACATCTTGGTGTATATGATAAAAGTGGATGCAGAAGCCTGTAGTGACTGTTGGTGACTTTTGCAAAGGCTGGATTTGTTATACTGAACTTACTTTGTTGGATATGTTTTTTTTTAATCAAATTCTTTCAGTAACCAAGGTGTCTTTCAGGAACGTTAACAGATACCAGAAGAAAGGGTTCTATAGAGAGATGTGAAGAGATCGATGAACTCGCGTGTTTGCGCACCAGGTGCAGGAAGGGGAGGACGGAGCACCCGGGAGCACCGAGGGCTGCG